CTTGAATTAAGACTCTGGTGACGTAGATAGAGTCACGTGAAATATGTGAAGTGGATCCTCCTTTCAAGTTAAACATTTACGAGATTACATCGCTTCTGAATTGGACCAGGGCAGTGGAGCCAGCATGAGTCTAAAAATCAGGAGAATTTAGTTCTAGTCTTGACTGGGCTACGAACTAGGTGTGCTTGAGTGATAATACTGCTTAGGGTATTATTTGAAAAGAGTTTGGTAGGAAGGTGTTGAGGGGGTGGGTAGGAAGGGTAGAGATTCTATCTCTAAAGTTCTTGGATTATCATTCAGGCCTTGAGGAGATTGGGTTAAAAAGCTCCTACCATATTTGCCTTGGATTCTCGAATAACCAAAACATTGGCGAGTCCCCACTACCCCAAACCCATTGGGTTATCCTGACAATTTCCTGATCTCATCATAGATTTAATATAATCATCTAAAAATTACTCTAGGAACTTTAAAAAGAGGAGGCTGAATTTTAATGAGATATTTCAGGAAAGGAAAATAAGTAGGTAAAAGATCTTTATGGGTCTCTCCCGCCCACCCCCCGCCTGGCTGGAATTCTATATGGATGTTGAGATCTCTTTAAAAGTAAAGTATTTTTGGCTTCTGTAGCCCTTGCCAGTGTTCATTCTTATTAAATTAACACAGAGTGCCCCAGGAGCCTGGTTTCCACATCCTGCTATTCAGGTCTGCCAGAGAAAGAAAATAATTGTTCTGGGTTATTTTACCTCATTATTCTTTCCTTTTAATGCACGTCTTAGTTACATTCTTTAGAATTGCAAACAAGAGCCTTGCCCAGGTTATCTTTGATGATGGAGGCATATCACGATGCTTGGAGGGACCATGAGCTGGCACTCAGTGCATCCTTTCTTAGCGATGCAGATGGTTTGATTGGAAATATATGCACTGGTCACAAAACTGCCATTGTTGGGGGCTTAGCCTGGATCCCATTGAGGATTTGATGTTCCCCAAAGAGAGGATTTGATTGGGTAGATTTGGGTCTTCTTATTGTGGAGCTCAGTGATTGGACATGTTTATGCCAGTCCCTCAGAGGCACTTGCCCTACGCCCCGTTGGTCACTGTCTGGCCAGCAAGGCTGGTTTTGTTGGGTGCAGCAGTATAAACCACATCACCTCCACTCAGAGCCCTCTCCAGGGCTGCTTTCCTCAGAGAGGGGCAGTGGATGTGGCAGGGTCTTGGCATTTCATGGCTTCTACGGTACACTCATTCATGTGCTCTTCTACTGACTTTGAAATTCAAAGCAGAGCAGCAAGGACACTTAGGAGCAGACTTTGCTGAGTTGTGAGAATGTGAGAGAAGGGAGTATTCATGCCCTCAGGAGCAGAGCAGCCCATGCTGTCACCCCAAGTGTTTAATCCACAGCTACCATTCATCAAGTGGCACTGAGGGTGGGCACTGGCCAGGGACAGGGGTTAATGGGCTCATAGTCAGTCAGGGGACCCTCCCTGTGCCAGGCCTCACTGAGACTCCAGAGGACTGTGTAGTACGTGCATGAGGCCCTCTAGTTCAAAGTTTTTATTAACCTTTCTTCAGGGTACAGTAGTGGCTTTCAACATTAGGGATGCATTAGGATCACTTGCAGTGTTTGTTAAAGCTACAGAGTACACACTCACCTTAGACCTACTGTGTTCATGTCTCCAAAGAGGTGGCGCTCAGGCAACTGTACCTCTTTAAAAATGTTGTGTATGTACGTACTTATATGTGTGCACACAAACATGTATACACGTTTATAAACCAGGCTTTTGCTTCTGGGAAGATGGAGATGCACCCTCCCCATTCCTCCTGCTAAGTGCAGTGAAAACCATGGGTATTATATGTAAAATAAACATAGAATTCTGAGGAGAGGGAAGGCAGCTTGGCCAGAGCCCAAGGAAAGACATGGCTGGGAGTCCCTAGGATTTCTTTTCACCTCATACATCCTAGACGTGGAGCTGAAGAAGCTGGCAACCCAGACGTGCCAGTGGGAACAGACATAAAAGCCCAACAAAAGCTTGCTCGCCCAAGCCAGAGGGGGCCAAAGGGACAGCACGGTGAGGCGGACAGCGTTTAGATAATAACTATTCTTTCCCAGCCAAAACCCCCAGAAAACTGCCCCTCACCACCACCCCGGACAGCAGTGGCTGCACAGGAGCCTAGACCTCCACCCTTGCTGGGCTGTAATGAGGTGCCACAACGGCCCCACTGTTGGTGTGGCAGCAGGTGACTTTCATCCCTGCCAGCTGGTAATGAGTGTTCCACGCCACTGGCCTTGCCTGATTCCATATCAGAGGAGACCTGTGGGGACCTAGACCGTCACCACTGTGCAGTGGCAGCGAGACCCCTTACCATGCATACTGTCAGTGGCACCCAC